CCCCGTACGGCGGGCTAACACTTGTACTCAATAAATGTAGTTGAGACGGAATGTGTTAAAGCAGGGGCACTAAGGGACTCCATAAACTGGTTAAAGATGGCGAATGCATAGTTTTTCTTGTGTTGTGAGATGAATTCCAGCCATTTTTTCTTAATCGTCCGGTTTCCAACTGAAAACTAATTTCCACACGCCACGAATTTAACTCAAACAACTTCATTTTTACTGCACTGGAACTTTGGTGAGAAGATTGAGTTTCAAAACTCAATTCAAGATTGAGTTTAAAAAATCCCTGAAAAAAACCCTGGTTTATACTTTGTAGTTTGCACTCCTAGTCAAATTCAAACATGGCGGATTTATAAGGGCACGCATGAGAAAAAGTGGAGACATATCTATTATATCTATATCTATTATTTCTATGTATTATTATGTATTATTTAGCAGAACAGCTGGTGTGGTTGCACCCTCCCCCCCCCCCCTACGGGGGGCTGACACTTGTACTCAATAAATGTAGTTGAGACGGAATGTGTTAAAGCAGGGGCACTAAGGGACTCCATAAACTGGTTAAAGATGGCGAATGCATAGTTTTTCTTGTGTTGTGAGATGAATTCCAGCCATTTTTTCTTAATCGTCCGGTTTCCAACTGAAAACTAATTTCCACACGCCACGAATTTAACTCAAACAACTTCATTTTTACTGCACTGGAACTTTGGTGAGAAGATTGAGTTTCAAAACTCAATTCAAGATTGAGTTTAAAAAATCCCTGAAAAAAACCCTGGTTTATACTTTGTAGTTTGCACTCCTAGTCAAATTCAAACATGGCGGATTTATAAGGGCACGCATGAGAAAAAGTGGAGACATATCTATTATATCTATATCTATTATTTCTATGTATTATTATGTATTATTTAGCAGAACAGCTGGTGTGGTTGCACCCTCCCCCCCCCCCCTACGGGGGGCTGACACTTGTACTCAATAAATGTAGTTGAGACGGAATGTGTTAAAGCAGGGGCACTAAGGGACTCCATAAACTGGTTAAAGATGGCGAATGCATAGTTTTTCTTGTGTTGTGAGATGAATTCCAGCCATTTTTTCTTAATCGTCGGGTTTCCAACTGAAAACTAATTTCCACACGCCACGAATTTAACTCAAACAACTTCATTTTTACCGCACTAGAATTTTGGTGAGAAGATAGAGTTTCAAAACTCAATTCAAGATTGAGTTTAAAAAATCCCTGAAAAAACCCTGGTTTATACTTTGTAGTTTGCACTCCTAGTCAAATTCAAGCATGGCGGATTTATAAGGGCATGCATAAGAAAAAGTGGAGACACGAGGTGGTTATCGGTGAATAAATAATCACCTCAACCGTAACCAATCAGCGTGGAGAATTTTCAATAATCACCTATGTAATTATACTAAATCCTATTATTTCTACGTATCCGCACATAACGCGCAGTTTTAATTCCACTGCTATCATCCTCGCGTAAATAGCAACGCGTTTTAAAACGTACGACGCATAGTTCGACTGAATCAATAAGGGAGAGTCTTCACTGGACTTCAAGGGGAAACAGTTTAAACTGATAAAGCTATCCAGCATATTAAGTGCATTTTCTGCTTGTCAAGTGTAGTTGATCATGGTGAATAAACAAGATTTGTTTCAACTCGCGACTTGCTAAAGTCCCGGTCAAATGAGGATGAGAGTTGAAACTTTCACTCTCAACTTTGAACTGGTTCAGATTTTGATGAGAGTCGCTACGCGTGCGGTAATATCCAATCAACTCTCGTGCAACTCTTGATCTCGTTTACCGGGCCATGCGAGTTGAGAAAACTCTCATTGCAAACTCTCGCTTGCAAACTCTCGCTTGCAAACTCTCTTCTCCCATTCTTGTTTGACCAAAGGTTAACAGCCTTCCTTTGCGAATACATTTTAACCTTAACCTTGAAGAGATCCTTTTTCTACCGGGCTGCCTCGGCATGGAACAACTGGGTTGTTAATGGATATAAGCAACTCTCTGCAAAAAGCTTTAAAACTGTAATTAATAATTATTTTAGCGAATTGGAAAAAGAGACTTTGTTGGGCGGATTTTTTCTTACTTTTAGGTTTGTAAATAGTTTGTGAACAGTGGGCCTGTGCTTTTGAGTACGAGATTTATCAAAAATCTTGTACACAAAAGCCTGGCGACTACGAGTTTTGCATGATGGCGTAAGCAAACACGCAAGAATGACAATAACGTACTCGTAGCATTGACTCGTAGTCACTGCTAAAGCTTTCCATTAGGGAACTTTAGCAACGAGTACGAGATTCGTTGAGTAGCCGTCGCCACAGATGATAGATTGTACCAGATGTCTCGCTCAGCAAAATTTGTGTCCGTGATTTTTTATAAGCAAAGTTGGCCGCCATTTTGGCAGCAAATGTAATCCATTCGAGCAATCACGCATTTTGGCAGTAAGCGCCATTTTGGCAGTAAGTGTCGCACGCGTCATCTGGCGTGATAGCCTCGCGAAAATCGCGGACACGAAAATCATAAGGGATACACAGTGAGACATCTGGTATGATCTATAATCTATGCCGTCGCCCATCTGAGTACGAAATTGTGGAGAAATCTCGTCGACGACTTTTTAAAAAACAAAGAAAGTTGGCTTTCTTTTGTTTTCCAAAAATAATTTGTAGCATTTATATAGCGTTTATCCGGCGCAAATAATATACAGTTAGTACTAAATATCATCTGGCCTGTTTTTAATGTCATGACTTATTTACACGTTTTGTAGGGGATTTTAGTCTGCAGGAGATTTAGTTTATGAAACTTTCTCTCGTTGTTGGTTTACTGCTATAAAAGCAACATTTGAATGGAAACGAAAACGACTACGGTGATTTCCTCGCACGCGATCAAATCTCGTACTCGTACTCGCTGCTAAAGCTCCCTGTTAATAAGTGGGCGGCTGTAAACTAGTCTTTAATATTTTTATATTAGTATAGATTTAATAATTTGATGTAAATAAATGGCCTCTTGAAAAGCAGCATTTTGGCTGAGGAGCTACTGGTTTTGAAATAATTTGTATAAATAAATAAATAAAGCGGTAACGATGTGGAATTTTCACACGCACAACCAAAATAGCACGCGCGATTACATAATTGTTTCATTAATGACGTCACGAATGAAAGAAAAAAACCCGCGGGAGTTTTCTCAAATGTTTTGAGAAATAACAACGCAGAAGTTGATTGGAGTTTTAAGTCCAAAAAGTTGTTGCGTCGAAAAATCAAAATGTCCGCAACACCAAGCGTCGATGAAGTGCACGAAGACAGGGGCGCGGAAGAGAACAGCCCTCAAGAGGCGACCGACGAAAACGCAAAAGTCCCCCCGGAGAGTAAGCCTTTTCTACCGAACGCGATCAAAAATCGCCTCGAAGACCAAATGAACCACGAAGATTTAGAGCTACTGGAACGGATCTTCGAGGAGGCAGATGAAGACGGAGGGGGCGGGCTAGATTTAGATGAATTCCGGGAGGCATTGAAGAGAATTATTGCTAACAAAGGCGGGAATTTGCCAGACGAAGGTGAACTGGCGATTATATTCATGAAAGTGGACGCGAATTGCGACGGCACGGTGGACTGGGAAGAGTTTTGTTCGTATATGTTGATGGAGAACCAGCTCAAAGACGTCATGAGCAGGTAAGAGACTGGGAACGAGATTGTGTGTGGTAATGTTTGGAGACATTTCCTCTTCCGCCACAAAATTCTGAAAATTTCACTGTCTTTGGCGAGACAAAATCAGGTCTTTATTACTCAGTGAGTCTTCGAGTTATGTTCACGTAATTTCGGCGACAGATACATCTGTCTTTCGTCTTTGCCCGTGTTAAAAGTCATGGCGATAGCTTTCTTTCTATAGAATTCACTGTAAACACGAACTATCCACACCAACATAGCTGGAATGGTGTATATTTGCAATGTTTCTGGGTACTAACTGGCCTGAAGCTTCGGGAATGGACAACTTGCATGTTAGACAAAATTTTAATCTAAATGGAAGAGAACTAAGAGAAGGGAATCAAACACCGCAGACCACAGCTAAAAAGAACATAATGAATTAGTAAAATTGCAAAATTTGGTTGCGAAATGTTGTAAAGCTTGGAAGATATAGTCTTGCAAAGTTTGCAAATTTTGTATATGTTTGTATTACGTGCGGAAATGAAATTGGTACCATTTTCGGCTCAAAAATGGTATCAATTTCCGCACGTAATACAAACATAATTATACAAAATAAACAAACTTTGCAAGGCTATATTTTCTGTATTTTACAACATTTTATAACCAAATTTTGCAATTTTACTAATTTTAATAAGTTCTTTACTGGAATTTACTTTTCTTTGCCTAAATAAAAAATTAGCTTAACATGCAAGTTGTCTATTAGAGTTGTTTTCAGAATCATCATATAAACTATCTGTCGTTCAGAAAAATCATCCATCTCTCATTTATGTTTCTTTTGCAGCGATCTCGGGGTTGATGCTCCATTTCCGAACCCTCTCCGAGAACTGCAGAGCAGCCATCGGGATACGGTCGTGCGTATCTCGTATTTTCCGAAGATATCGTACGGTCCCGAGGATTTCGCGGACGGAACGTCAGGCAGGTAATGTGGAAACACTCCTTCATTTTTCAACATAATTTTTGACATAATAAACTTGTACCATATTTTATTTGAAACATCGAAAAGTAATTGAAAAACAAGGCAGTAGCCGAGTTTTTTGAACACAGGTTTTAAACAACCTTGTCACATCAAGTTACCAACTTTTCATAACAAGTTACAATCTTGTCTCAAGAAGTTATACATTTGTTACAACAAGTTGCAAACTTGTTACAACAAGTTACAATCTTGTTACAACAGGTTACAAGCCTGTTACAACGAGTAATGAAGTTTTATAACAAGTTACAATCTTGTCGTAACAAGCTATTTTGTTACAACAAGTTGCAAACTTGCTTACAACAGGTTACAAATTTGTCACAACAGGTTACAAGCTTGTTACAACAAGTTACAAATTCGTTACAAACTTGATATAACAAGTTACAAATTATGTTTCATCTTAGATACGTGGCTGTAAGTCGAGATGGTGTAATGACCTTTTGGAATATGGATCTGAACCTACAACGTACGATTCTGTTAAACGAAGGACACTACAACTCTCCCAAGGGCAACAAAACTGTTTGGGTCACTGACTGTGTCGTTCTGGCGAACGTGAAGAAAATTGCTGTCTCTACAACCGAACGAGATATTGCTTTCTACGACTGCGCCGCGAATAATTTCGAGAAGCATTTTGTTGTCTGCGGTTTCCAGCATTCAGTACTCTGTATGGATTATTGGTACAACCCAGAGAACTATAACGAAAGCGCGCTGTATTTTGGTGATATGAATGGCCAAGTTTATGTATTGATTTTCTCCTCAGCTACCACAGGTTAGCAATGCTTGTCTTTTCTTTTTGGCTTTTTTTTAATAAAGCTTTATTTGCATAACCTAATTACAGGTATTGCTAAGCGTATATTTAACTAGTATAAAAACTACTTTAACTAACGAAAAACAACAATATACTGTTATTTACATGTAAAAAAAAAGCTTCGGTCGGAACAAATTTTCTATATTTCTTGGTTACATTAACCGTTACAAAATAGCAAATAGCGAGCTTAATTAACACGGACGTCAGATTGCCGAGGGGGACTGGATTAGGGGGAAGGGGGCGGGGGGTGGTGGTGTCAGTTTGTTGCAATCTTCAACACATATGACAAAACATAAGATTGCTAAAGTTGTTTGCTACACGAGCGTTATGATACAAAATGTCGCCAAAATTATTTACACGAATTTTCGGATGCAGTCCGTGTTGACAAGAATGTCGCTTCGTTAAGCTCACTAGTAATGGAGCTCAACTTCACAGTTTCAGAACTTTTGACACTTATAAGAAAAGCAAGAAAATTAAACTGTGTCGCTCATTTCTATTTGCCACCAAATAGAATACTAAATAAAATGGAAGGAATCTACATCATTTACTCACTCAGCATACTTATTACAAAGTTGTTCCGCGCACCACGCTGTGTTTGCTATATGCTTGTTCCTGGACAAATTTACTCTTTTGTGTTCTCCCCAGAAGTCGAGTAAGGGCCATCCCTTCATGATCTATATAGTTTTACTCCAGGTGAAAATCTGAACTATAAACTAACTTTGCTTTCACTGGATAGCTCAATTGTTTCCAAACCATTATTGTCACATGCGACTGTGGCGAATTACAATCTGACAACTGCGCGTATTCAGGAACACAGTAGTTCTAGATTCAGTCTTAGTGGTAAACAGCCAGGCTGCATGTGAGGCTATGTAGAATTTGTGAACAAGCTTTCGTGGGTAGGGAAGCAACTACCTGAAAAATATAAGGAGAATTTCGACGTTTCGAGCGAAGGCCCTTCCTAGTAGCTCCAGACGAAGGGCCTTCGCTCGAAACGTCAAAATACTATATTTTTCAGGTATAGTTACATCGCTAGCAACGAAAGCTTGTTCATATTATTGACACTATACCTACACTGGGACAGACAGATCAAGATTATGTAGAATTTAGTACTTTATTAAGAGGAGATTTTTTGTATGTCACGTAACACGCGCTCAAAACTAATGCGTATAATATATCACTTGAGGTTATGACTAAATTCAAAATTTTGTTTTTCGACACGTTTCTCAATCGGCAAACAATCTTAAACAGTATGTTTGGTGCTTTATCTGCAAAATAATGCTAAAATGAAGAGATTTTAGATTATACGCCAAAGAGAGAATGATGTCTGAAGTTCAGTAAGTTTTGCTTATATGGCTGTAAATATGGCGTCAATTTTAAAGCATCATTGATAATTGTATTTTAATTGACAATTTTTAACTATTATTTTATGTTTCTCAACCGGCAGATACATTTTAAAAGGTAGATCGATAACTCTATAACCTGGCGAATAAAGCTAAAACAAAGTAACTTTGAGAAGAACCATGCAAAAAGATTTTAGGTTTTGAACACTTTTCATTGCAAATACGTGACATTGAAAAAAATTGCCTCTTAATAGGTTGATATTTTCTGTGTAGGTCTGTTCGACATCCACGTTGCAAAAAACCAAGGCGTCCCTATGGCATCATATTGCCGGATCATGTTTAAGGAGTTGGTGAAAGGCTTACACCCGAACGTGCGGGCTATGCAGTTTTCCCTTCACGATGACTGGGTGAAGAAAGTGAAGTACTACCCGAGCCTGCAGTGCTTTATATCCTGCGCAACTACAAGCGAGAAGTCACTGTATGTTGGCGATGCGATGAGAAAACGAATTAGCTCGTATATCAATATACGCAAGGGTGTCCTGTGCTTTGATTACTGCAGCACATGGAATGTTATTGTGACTGGAGGGATAGATCACTACGTTCGTCTTTGGAATCCATATTTAACCACTAAACCCACCTCTACCCTCAAAGGCCACTGCTCTGCCGTTATTCATATCGCAGTGAATGGCTCGAACGGACAGTTCATCAGCGTGTCCCAAGACAAGGTACTTTGATACACATAATCGGCTAACGTATTTATGTCCGTTGAAACCCAGTCCACTCGCATGTATCAGGGCTCAAAATAACGAGAGATGGGTCTCCGGTCAAAATGACCGGTCAACGTGATTTTAGCTCCGTCAAAATCTGTTTTTGACCGGTCATTGATACGCTTATACTAACAGTTAAACAAACAAGAAACTTGTTTCGATACATCATAGTTTCATGTTTTAATTCAAGACGTCAGCAATCACATTGGAAGGTATGAAAATGTGGCCGATCAAAATGACCGGTGAGGAAAAAAAGTGACCGGTCAAGAGGCATTTTTGGCGGGTCATTGTCCGTTGACCGACCGTTATTTTGAGCCCTGTGTATAATTTAAATACTTGACTACTTTCGTTCCATTCCATGCTATCATCAGAACAGTGGTAACTAGCCTAGTTACTAGGCATGTAATTTCGCTTCAGTAGCGCGTGAGAGAGTGTAATCTTCCAGGGGGTTTTTCGTACTCAGGTTTCCTATTGTAGCAACACACTGGATTACGCTTACTCGCCCTTAGAGAGAACCATTTAGAACTGATAGAGCTATAAAATTTAAATAAAGTTTAGATTTTCTCCTCTAGTCACACTGGATTAATAAGAGATGACCCTTACTGGACTTAATCTAGGGAGAAACTGATGGAGTTGTCCAGTACAAATCTCAAACTCATTAATAATTCACGAGTAAATTAGCCAACCATATTGCTTTATTTTGCTCACATGATAATACTGGATACCTGATGAAGTATATTGATTCAGTTCCTAGGACTGGTTCAAAATTAATTCAGTCCTTGGACTGGATCAAAATTAATTCACCTCACTTGAAGTAGTGATTTATTCGTATGAGATGTCATTTCAAATACTCGGACTGGACTAAATTTCAAGTCCGCTCATTGAAATCTAGTCCAGTCCTCATAGTCGGATTTGAAATATTCCATAAAGTCAATTCCGTTTAAATGTTAATGGATTTTGACAGACGTACAATAATTATCACGATTTCTTTCCTAGGTGTTGAAAGTTTGGGACATAAGAGATGTATGCTGTATACAAACCATTCCTAGTCGTCTTCTCACCCCAGGCCCCGTGGTTATATCCAGTATCTACTTTAATGCCAAGAATCACACGTTATTACTGGGCACCAATGTACTTTTCGCGCTCGAGAAGAAAGGTAGGACGGTTATCTTGATATTTAAACATGTATGGAAAGGATAGAAATCCGTTAAAACCTAATAAAATGTTCGATAAATGGTTCACCCAGCTTCAGGAAACGTGGCTAGGAAACAGTGTTTCCTGGTTTGTCCACCTTCAGGAAACATGTTCCTGGTTTGTCCACCTTCAGGAAACATGGCCAGTGTTTCCTGGTTTGTCCATCTTCGGAAAACATGGGTAGGAAACAATGTTTTCTGGTTTGCCCAATGCCCACCTTCAGGAAACATGGCTATAAAACAATGTTTCCTGCTTTGCCAACCTTCGGGAAACATGGCTAAGAAACTATGTTTCCTGGTTTGCCCACCCTCGGGAAATATGGCTAGGAAATAATGTTGCTAGTGTCTTCAGGAAACATTGGTAGTTTTTCCTGGTTTGTCCACCTTCGGGAAACATGGCTAGCAAACAACGTTTCCTGGTTTGTCCACCTTCAGGAAACATTGATATTTGTTAGTGTTTGCTCGTTTGTCCACCTTCGGAAAACATGGCTAGGAAACAATGTTTCCTGCTTTGGCCACCTTACGGAAACATTACAGTGTTTCCTGGTTTGTACACCTTTGGACAAACAATGTTTCCTGTAAACAATGTTTCCTGGTTGCCCTGATCACATCCTGAATCCACAACGAGAAAGAGGCTTAATGTTAACCAAGAAATACTGAAATATTTTTATAATTGTAGGATCTGAGAAAAGCTCGGACGATAAGGAACGCAGCAGCCACATCAAGCCACTTTGTAAAGCATTATACAACAGTCTATTTAACCAAGTGGTCAGCGCCTGTCACGCGTCGCTTGTCATAGTCTGGAATCTGGAAACGGGTGAGAAGGTCATCCAGTTCTCAAATGCACACCCGCACTCCGAAATCACAGCGATGTGCTTCGATCAGAGTATGCGCAGATTGGTGACAGGTATGATGTCTTATATTACATTATTACATTAGGCTTCTCAGTGACCGATTACATCAGGTATAGTACGCTTACTTGCGTTACTTTGTTAGCGAAGACTATTTATCTTTACAACAATTGTGATTATACTTTCTTAACTGTGTTTATCCTAACCCACCCTGTCAACTTTCCCTGTGGGAGGAAACCGGAGCACCCGGAGAAAACCCACGACTTTCGGCAGAGCGTTGACAGACTCTTTTCACATGAGTCCGTATTGAGAATCCAACCCACGATCTCAGAGGTGAAAGACGCTTGCTCTGCACAGTTTGACCATATAAATAATAGATATAGAATGCGTATACTTGATCACGAATCATGTCTCCACCTTTTCTCATGTGCGCCCTTATAAGTCCGCCATATTGAATTTTACTAGGAGTGAAACTACAAGATATAAACAAGCTAAAATTAAGTTTTCATAAAAAAAAACCCCCAAAAAAACAAAACAAAAAGACTAAGTTTAATAAAACTAAGTTTTTCGAAACGTTTTGTCTTGCTGTCTAATTTGTAGTTTGGGGATAGATTTTGAAATATTAAGTTTCGGCTTTGAAGGCACAAAGCAAATGTAAGTTCTGCATCAGTTGTGCAGTTACAAAAACGGTGAAAATCGCGCAGCCTTGTAAAAACAAAGTAGTTTTGCGTAAATATAATTTGCTCATAGAACATTTTTGCATGCTCTGAGCGTCACTGTTTTGCTAATATCTTATGAAATTACAAAATGATAGTTTATTCTTCGTCGGGTTTCGTTTTTCTTCAAATTAAATGGAGTGTCTACAGTTTTAAAACAAAAAGTATTTGGTTGTAGATGAACTGTAAATTGCCTAAATAATCGTTGAAAACTGTGGTTTCAAAGGCGTTGCCTCAAGGCTCAGGCAACGTAGAAAAATATGAAAAGTAATTGTGTAAGTTTAGAAAGATTACTGAACGCCATTTATATTATGCAACAGTTCAAATATAGCCAGAATTCCCTTATAAAATCTGTGGAGACATTTTTACTGAGAAAAGATAGGAGTACGCATTCTATGTCTATTATTTCTGTGGACCTCGAATTTTAAATTTTAAATCATTACACCATTTTCTTTAACTTTCGTTATTTTTTTGTAACTTTAATATTTCCACACTAAAAACAGGAGCACGCGACGGTTCGGTGAAAATTTGGAATTTCAACAACGGGAATTGCTTGAGGACGTTGACACCTGTGGATGATGAAGAGATAACGGGAATAGTGTGTACAAAACAGAGGATAATTACAGTTGGATGGTCGAAGAAAGTCGCGATATATAAGGATTCCAGGGGTGATGAGGTGAGATTTTAGGACAGTCACGTGTCGTGCTCTTTTGAATCCAGGTTATCCTAGATTAACATGACCATTTATTCATTGCCTTAAACCATTTTTAATGGAATAAATCGATGAAGCCTGTCGAACATCAGCCGGAAGTACATTCTAGAACTTAGCTCTGTTGTATTTGAACGCATTTTTTTGAGAGATTTTCTTTTTGGCATTGGAAGTGACCGATTTATATTATTATTTCTGAGATCATATGCTGTTTGCATATCACTTCTCGAAATAAACATTTGTTTCAAATTGGGAGCACACCGGTTATTATAAGGATTTTATAAAGAAAGATAGATTTGTGCAGGTCACATCTTACATTCAGAGGTTTCCAAAGTCGTGTTTACACTACCAGCCTTGGCCTGGCCTTGACCTACATTTTTACAGTGTAAACAGACCTTGGCCTAGCCTTGGCCTCTGGGTATAGAACAGTTGAGAAATATATATCTTGTACTTTTCCAGGAAGAATGCGAGCCTCGCGTGTGGAGTAACTTCCACAAGGACGACATCCTCTCAATAGATCTCTACGGCACAGGGACACTAGCTACAGCCAGTTACGATGGCGATATCAAAGTCTGGAGTTTAGAGACGTTTCAAGTCACGTGTGTTCTGAATGCCAATGATTATCCACGAGAACGACGTCAGTCTTTGATACCCACGGACCTTAAGAAAAATGTATGTATTGATGAGTTTCAGAAAGCGTTGCGGGGCAAATCTACACATGTAAAACGCACAAGTTGTAACAAACCTGCAGCAGACTTGTAGCAATTGCTGTTCCAACATCTTGTCAACAGGATGTGTTCGCACTGCTTGTTCCCAGCTTGTGGATAACTTGCTACAAGGTTGTTGAGCTCAACAGACTTGTTACAAGTTGTTCCAACAACTTGTTATCGTCCTGCAATTCAACAATTTGTCAACAAGTTGTGAGTGACAAGCTTGTAGCAACTTAATGAAATAACAGCATTGTTACAACTTGTTGACAAGCTTGCTACAAGCCTGTTGCGAACACATCCTGTTGACAAGTTGTGAGATTTTTACGTGTGTAGAACGCCCAATGTCGTACCAATAATTTTCTCTGTTTTAAGGTAATGGTAAGCAACGTGATCTTCACTGACTTGAAAAAACAAGAAGCTTTAGAAAAAGCAGACGAAGAAACGTTAAGATGTCAACAGCCCGTTATGAAATTTAAACGAAGTAAAAGTTTCTCGTATCGTCGACGTTCAAGTGTCGGCTTGCGTAGAGCCAGCGTCATGAGAAGAAAAAGTATTGATCCTATGTGTATCAAGGTGAGATTTAATGACTTTGTTTCCATGACTGTTTCTGCGTTTGGCCACACAAGCAAACAATCGTCCTCGGCTGAAATATTTGATCGTGAAAATTGCTAATCTAATAGAATGAATCGTAAATACAACTTTACATACACTGAATACATTGATCAGTTCTAAAATGTTCTTTCTCGAGATCCAGTAAGAATCGTTCCTTCTTGTCGAGTGTTACTACAGTAGGAAACCTAAACTAAACTAAAGTAACTTTATTTATACTGTATTGCTCTGTCAGTTCTAAATTGTTCTCCCTAGAGGTCCAATAGGAATCATTCCTTACTCGTCCAGTGTTACTAGTACAGGACGAAACCTGAACTAAACCTCATTTATACTCAATTCTTAACTATTCTTTCTAGAAGTTAAGTAAAGGTCCTGCCCTTATTAGCCAGTGTAACTACAGGAAGAGAAAGCTAAATTGAACTAACTTTAAACTGAATAGTTCCATCAATTCTAAACCGTTCTTCCTAGCCAAGTAACAGAAGGGGGCAAACCTAAACATATACAGGATTGTTCTATCATTTTAAACTGTTTTCCCCCAAGATCCAGTAAGATCCATCTTTTATATTTCCACTTTTACTACATCATCTTTTGCAGGTCAACGTAAAAGAGACTGACCATGACTCGGGCGTCGATTGCGTGTTGTTCCTACAAAGTCGTACCCATGCCACTGACACGGCCACGCTGCTGAGTACTGGATCGGGCGGCTGGATCCGTGCTTGGTCTATGTTTGGTGGGGGACTGGCTGGTGAATTCATGGCTTCGAATAACCATCGAGAGTCTATACTATGTATGACTAGCGATGAGAATAACGACCTGCTTATGACCGGAGACACACAGGGTTATATTAAAGTATGGAACATTAGTAAATACTGCATACGAGAGGACAGCGATGAGGGTACTTTACCCGGAGACAAAAACCGTAGTGGGAAACTTACCTCCGGTGGCAAAACACCTAGACATGTGACTTTTTCTGAAAACAAGCCAAGGAGAAAAATTTGTGGTAAAGCCCCACCGTTGGTTTTTTGCTTGCGTGCACATTTGCAACCGATTATAAGTATCGATTTCGTTTCGAAGTGTCGATTATTGATTACAGCGTCTACCGACTGTTCGTTACGATTGTGGCGTAGTAATGGGCAGTACGTCGGTACATTTGGCCAGCGCAACGCGTGGAACCTAAAGGCGGATGGCGACGGTGAGGTACCTTTCGACTTACAGAGAGCAGCTTCGGCGAATTCCATGAGATTGATGCAGTCTACGTCTCGCAAGCGTTGGAGTATTGCTAAGAGTTTCCTGCAGGTAGCTGGCCGGCTAAACGTAATGCTTTCCAAGCAGGGAGACAATGCCGGACAGGATCGAGAGTCAAGCGCGACTAAAAGCGCAGCACTACGCGAAGCTGAGTGTCGTATCGATATGAATAATATCTTAGGTAAGTTCTACGAGCCTAGAACTCGACATTCATGTTGCTGTAGCCTGTAGGGCCAGCTCTGTTCACAGCTGTTTTCCTTCGAAGTGCATGCAGTAAAGACCATCCCTTGTTGGTCAAGTGATACTGAACTACCTACCTTTTTCTGGATAGGTATGAAAGCCCAGTATATGACATTCAAATATTATGTCTTGTTTGAAAATCAAATGCTGGGCTTTAATATTATTGCGCTTTCTTCGTGGTGTGTCGTTCGCTACTGGATAGTTCTATCAGTTTTAAACTGTTCTTTCCAGAGGTCTATCAAGGATCATACCTTATTGATCCAGTGTTACTACAGGAAGAAATTTGAACTAAACTAAGTTGATTTATACTGGATAGCTCTATCAGTTCTAAACTGTTCTCTCTTGACGTCCGTTAAAGGTTTTTTTTCACATTTCTTATTGATCCAGTGTCACTACAGGAGGAAACCTAAATTAATCTAACTTTTTTATAATGGATGGCTCTATTATTCTTTTTTGAAATTATATGTCTATTTTATACGATTGTTTCGTAGGAAAGTTCTACAAGCCCAAAACGCGACACCATATGCCTCCAAGTTTACCCAAACTTCGAATGAGCCAGAATCAAATCGTAGTGTATACTTCACTAAAGTGCAACGAACTTGCCCCCATTGTGGAGCCCAAGGCGCCGGTCGTGACGTTTCAAACGCCATCAAATTCCAAACCCAGTCCCAGGGTTCCCTCGTCCAAGTCTGACAAAGATGTCCCGGATCACGGAAAGACACACAATCGCATATCGGCAGTTAGTCCTAGAGACGCAGCGAAGACCCGGATACGAAGTTCGCATGGTATTCGAAGAATAAAAGTTCAAGAAAGCTCTTGAATTGTTGGTGGATTGTGGTAAAAATATAAAAGAATTTTGTGCTTGTGTTTTGTTAGTAAAAATTGTTGTCGTTACGGAAATTCATGCCATAATAAAATTGAGCCTAATGTTCATAGTTCGTTCACATGCGTCATTATGGCAAAAATATTTATGAATGCAGTTACAAAACCGGTAAAACCATTGCAAATGCGATGTGGCACACTATTCTCGACACTGTTTGCGTTTTCCCATAATTCATTCAGTTTTTGCGCGGTCCATATTTTCATCCGTTTGGATGTAACAACGGATGTTCAATCAACAAACAGTTGATTCCAAGGGGAAGCAGAGCTATTTCATTACGTTATCAGCGCTTTAGACAATACAAAATAGTCCGGCCAATATGTATCCAGTCAATGTTTGATTGATTGATTGAGTTTATTGACACTCCCCTAAAGGGGGCTTTTCAGTGACAAAAATATATATACATACTCAATTAATTATTATATTTAACAATTATTCGCCGAAGGCGAAGTGATTACCGGTGAATATTCACCGAGACGAAGTCGAGGTGAATATTCACCGTAATCACTGAGCCTGAGGCGAATAATTGTTTTAGTATAAATTTTTAATGAATAAAACAAAATATCCGAATATCAGTTCAATTAAATTTCAGAAATAAAACTGTTTTCGGCCTGTTCATTAATAGTGTTGCAGTATTTCTTGTACGCACACGCTTTCAAAATGGCTTCTTGTGTGACTTTATTGCTTTATTACAAAGTTGTTTTTCTCGATTTCTGCTTGGAATATAAACACAATAACGGAATGACTCTTTCACCAGACTTAGAATTAAAAACAGTTTCTGTTTAGCATTAATTTCTTCAGGAAATAGCTGAGGAATTTGGTAAAATGAAATGTAAAACTATATTGTTCGAAATAAAGTTTTAATAACACTTTTTACTTTACAAGTTTCGAAAACACAATACATGAGCGGTCCGAACACCATACAGCACAATGAAAACACGACATATCAAAAGAAATAGTATCGTACAAATTGGGAAATCTATAGCATACAAAATAAAATGGATTTTAAAGAATATCACGGCAAGGTTTTTCCCAAAAGTCGGGATGGTTTTTGCTATTTGTTTGAAGTTAATGTTTCGGAGTTTTAAATAAGTTTTAAATTGTCCGTGAATATGATTGACACAGTAAAATAATAAAGGAATCCTACCTTTCAAGTTAAATACAACATTTTGTGCTTCTTTCGTTTTCTGGGGACGATTTTTTTCAATATTTTGTCGATTTTGAAACCAAATTTCACATGAAATTTGCCGAATCATTCTTTTTGAAAAGCATTATTTACTACCCAGGTGGTAAATAATGCCTCAGATTTACTAGTCAGCTAGCCAATCAGAACGCGCGAAAGCTGATTTGATATGCAAAATTTATACTAAAATTCTAATCGTTTAATTGGCTGTTTATGGTCACGTGATATTGAATAGAAAATTCCATTTCCCAAGAGTGCAATGGAACACGTTCCATTGCACTCTCCGCGAGTGCAATGGAATAAAACGTATAATACAATTGCACTCTTTGTGTTTTCGATAAATCGCATCCCTCAAAATGCTTCTCATACGAATCTATTAGTCTGTTCTGGACTTTTGGTATTATATAAAACAAATAATGAATGTTTCTTCGTGCAATGGTAAGAATATTTTCATTCGGTGAAAGATGGAATGTTCCATTCAACTCGGCTGTCGCCTCGTTGAATGGAACATTCCATCTTTCACCTCATGAAAATATTCTTACCATTGCACTCATAAACATTCATTATTTGTATACTATAAGTGTACATCGGATCCTAAATTCATATAATAAGATCACGCAATTACTTTATGCACGACATCAAATTCTTGACAACAAGATTAACAACAGCAGCATACAACATACATCAACATCATCAACAACGACAGCAAAAACAACAACAACAACAACATCAACGACAATAACAACGACAACGACAACAGAAAAACATGCCCTTAAGCTAACTCTCTATAAATTGCTGAAGCAGTTCCCGTTTCAGTCTAATTTTAAAGCTTGGAATGTATTTGCAAAGTTTTAAGTCAGGGTTAATGTTGTTCCAGAGAGTGACAGTTCTGTAATGGAATGTTCTTTGTCCTGCAGTTGATCTGTATAACGGAACATCCAGCTGTTTAGTATTTCTTGTATAGTGACCACTCACTTCACCTCTCGTTTTGAACTGGGACGATAAGTAGGCAGGGGCGCAATCGTTCATGCATTTGAAAGCTAATAGAGCATCGCGGCTAATGTCGCTTGGATTTCGAGGCAACACTTTCCTTGTGATAGTAACTCCTGCTATCAAGGCAGATTTACTCTTAGATTTACATCTTTTGCCTAAACCTATCGTCGCATGCAACCTGCTTACAACCCGAGTTATACTGTGTAAATCAAGCACACAACTTGCCTACGTTGTCATTGGTGAATTGTGTGGTTGATTTACACAGCACAACTCAAGTTGTAAGCAGGTTGCATGCGACAGTTTTGGGCAAAAGTTGTGTTGTGTAAATCGGCTTTTATAAAGTAATAGTATGCCTATGTTATGGCATTTAAGACCCCGTTCACACGATACCGGCAGAGTTTGAAAACGGAACGAAATTCTTACGTTTAGGGGTGTTGCGTTCACACGATGCCGGTATGAAAAAATGTGAAACCGTAACGCTAACCGTAAGAGTTTGGAAACGGTATGCAAACCGTAAAAGTTTGAAAACGAAACGAAATTCTACCGTCAAGAGTGCCGTGTGAACGCCTAACCCTAAGAATTTCATTACGGTTATGCAAAATGAAATTAACAAAACTGCAAAAGTTGTTGTTGGATATTTTATTCTGTCTATTTTAACTGATTTGTGCAGCATATTGTCAAAGCGGAATATAATCTGCCGGTATTGTGTGAACAGTATAGCCTGCGTAGCAGGCGTTTAGTGCGGGCGGGAGAAGAAAGGGCGTCGTTAACCTTTACTAAACGCCTGCTACACAGGCTATGTGAACAGTTGAAACCGTGATGATTTTCTGCCGGCAGAATTCCATACCGGTATCGTGTGAACGGGGTCTTAAGGCGGTTTTCCACTAGGCGAAATTTTTCGACCGAATCGAAATTTCTCTTTGTTTCAGAGCTCTCGAGCAGAACTAATTGTAAAAAGACAAAGAGAAATTTCGTTTCGGTCGAAAAATTCCGCCTCGTGGAATCCGGCCTTAAGTGTTGAGTAGTTTTATTTTCTTCGATCTTATCCAAGAACAAGTACGTCCAGTAAACAAATCTGTTCGTGAGGAAAAAAACTGCACAGAACATTAACAAATTTTGAATTTTATTTTTTACACATTTCATCTTATAATGTACAACCTGGCACACTACTAAACTTACTCCAGAGATCTCCGTTTTCGTCTTGATCTCAAATAATTATATGTATTGTATGTTTTGGGAGGATAATTTCCGTACGCATTATTACTATTCCATTGATCGTACGCAAGTCTTGGCTGCATTTGCCCGTAATACGGGGCACTAATGTCCGAGGTACCGAAACTCCGGGAGGGATAATTGTACGCGGGACTTTGTACCGTCTCGTACGAGGCGATGGGTTGTGGCTGAGGGGGCGGGTTTTGCGGGTAGTTATTTGTCCATGCGGGTTGCTGTGGTATGTTAGTTCTAGAAACTGGCAATGGTTCTCGGTATACATTTTGAACTGGTCTGGGTTGGGTTTGAACCTTAGCATGTTCATTTAACGGTTTATATTTTATTGTTTCCAAATTTGGCGGCGGGCCAAAAGTATATGTTGGACCATCCGGGACTTTCTCGGTCACGTGACTAGTTTTGCGTTTCGGCACGGCTTTAGTCGGGCGTGGTTTATCCGGGTGTTTAACCCGCTGGTAGGGTGGTTTGTCTTTAGTGCCGTGTAACACTAGTCCCCATTCTCTTAACATGCCGTGGTTCGCGCGCGAGTCTCCTTCGTCATTTATCTCTAGAGTCCAGGCCCCGCGCGGATCTTCGCCCCAGGAATGTGTCGTCATAAACGGCCATTTCATAAAGCCTTCGTCAGAGAGATCTTCTCCCCGGGGGGAAAGTAATCGTGATTTTGTTCCCATCGGTGAAGTGAGATCTATTGCGAGGTCTCCCCTCCTAGTGTAGTCTAATGTTAAAACGAGTTGAACGTGTTCTAGATAGCGTAGCTCGTCTTGGTTGCCTTGACAACCGTTTGCTTTGATCTTCACCGTCAGGCCTTTCTCACGTCTGATCAGTCTAAAAGTGAATGAGAGACGTGGCATTATTACATGACTTTTGTTTGCTTACTTTGTTCCAGTTTACCAAAAGAATGGAATAAAACAATGGTAACTAAGCACTAATTCACTCACATGCCTAGTTACTATTGTTTCAGTTTACACACAGCATAGAACACAAGAAAGGCAACTTTGTATCAGCATTTTCTATTCCATGCTGTCGTAAACCTTAATTCTATAGATCGTTTGGGACCAACTCGACAAAAGCCAGAGACCAACTCAACAAAAGCCATGGCGGCCATGTTGGTGTTCCAGACAAAAGAGTCCAATTAAAATGATTTTGAATTGGAACACCAACATGGCGACTGTGACGTCATGTGCAAACGCTCTATACAGGGTGTATAAAATAAAAGATAATCCAAATTTAGTGTGCTTTTGTGACCTCAACATTAAGAGCACGGGTTCAATTTTTCCATATCAATAAAAATTAGGGTTTTAGCATTCGAATGACACAAGCACAATTGACCAAATACCAGCTGGTTAAAAATTACCGGTCAAAATCACATTTTTCCACTTTTGTGTATAAAAGGCAATGTAAAAATAATCACTAATGTGTCTTGCCAAGCAAATGACCACATTTATAAACAACTATTTAAGTTTATCCCATATGTTGCTAATGTTACAGCTTTTGAAATTGAATTTCATGAATTTTAGATCCAAATGAAATTTTTTCAATAGTTTTGCATAGTTTTGTACAAACATTTTATCAATAAACTCGATATCTATATCGCATGCAATTGCTTCATTTTAATGCACTTTGTACTGCTTAATTATGCACAAAAGAGGAAAATGTGGTTTTGATCGGCAATTTTTAATCGGTTCGTAATTGTCATTCAAAAGCTAAAGGCCGTTTTCCACTAGGCTGAATTTTCTGCGCGGAGTGGAATTTTTCTTTGTCTTGTAATTTCTCGGGTGAAACTAATGAGAAAAGACAAAGAGAAATTCTGCTCCGCGCGGAAATTTCCAACTAGTGGAACCTCAATTTGTTGTAATATGGAAAAAATAGATATGTGCACTCAATATTGATTGCACAAGAGCGTGCTAAAGTTGAATTACCTATCTTTTGCACACCCTGTATATTCTTCACTTACTTTCGATCCTGATTGATCTGCCCATGACAAATTGTTTTCTCCGGGACTTTCTTCTTTAGCTTGGCCAGAGCCACAATAGCGTGCGCATCCAAGAGACCGAAGCCAAACTTCCGGTTTACATGTCGCCCAAGTCCGTTCACGTTCCAGTCTGAATCATGTGACAGCGCACGCCATTTTGATGTCCAGACCACTATATGTTGAATATCTCGCCACGTCAGATTAGGACTGAAGCGGGAAAAATGCAACGGGATTAATGTTCCTAAAAGAACTTGTGGATTTATCTATTAATTTTGAACTCTTCTCCACGGTTGGAGATCTAATAAGGATCATCTGCCCATCTTTATTAGTCCAGGTGGAAACCTTAACAATTTTTATGTAAACTGGATAGCCCCATCAGCTCTAAACTGTTCTTCCTAGAGGTCCAGTAAGAGTCATCTCTTATTGATCCAGTGTTAACTTCAGAAGGAAACCTAAATTACTAAACTTATATTAATTTATACTGGATAGAACTGGGGGGGGGGGATGTGAAATCCATACCATGAAGTTTGCAATTGCACCACTAAATCCATTGTATATCCGTACTATTTCAATACTATATACAATTATTATGGATAACCAAAATCCATTCTATTTCCAATAAAGATCCATACAATTTCCATTCTATGACCTTCTATGGATTTTCAAATTTTTTTCCAGTGTAGCTCTATCCCTAGAGGTCCAGTAAGAGTCATCTCTTATTGATCCAGTGTTACTTTATTTATACTGGATAGCTCTGTCAGCTCTAAGTTGTTCCTCCTAGAGGTCCAGTAAGGATAATCTCTTGTTGATCCAGTGTTACTACAGGAGAAACCGAAACTAAACAAACTCTATTTGTACTGGATAGCTCTATCGGTTCTAAACTGTTCTACCTCCGGGTTCCGTTCAGTGCTAAATACTGAATCAATAAGAGATGACTCTTACTGGACCTCTAGGAGGAACAGTTTAGAGCTGAAAGAGCTATTCAGTATAAATAAAGTAAGTTTAGTAATTTAGGTTTCCTTCTGAAGTAACACTGGATCAATAAGAGATGACTTTTACTGGACCTCTAGGAAGAACAGTTTAGAGCTGATAAAGCTATTCAGTATAAATAAAGTAAGTTTGGTTTAGGTTTAAGGAACCTAAAGGAACCTAAACTAAACTTACTTTATTTACACTGAATAGCTCTATCAGCTCCGAACTGTTCCTCCTAGGGGTCCAGTAAGGGCCATCTCTTAATTTTCGGTAAACTGAGTGTTCTAAATTGACCTAACATTATTTATCCCGCATAACTTGAGTCTTGAGTTCTATCAATTCTAGACTGTTATCTCTAATGTCCAGTAAAAGTCATTCTAGCTTCATTGGTCCAATGCTACTACGCTGGAGAGATCTATCAGTTCCATACTGTTCTTCCTATATAATTCTATACATGTATTTAGATCTAACCAGGAGCAGTTGCGATGTATAAAATTTATATAAATATGGATAAATCTATCAATTCTAAACTGTTCTCTTTAGAGGTCCAGTAAAAGTCATTCTTCATTGCCTGGTCCAATGTTGCAAGTGTGGTAACATATGTAAGTTAACTTTATTTTTACTGGGTTGCGCTACCAGTTCTAAATTACTGTTCTTCATCGATGAAGCCTATAGTATATCATCTCTAAAGTATAGGCAACTGACACAACCCTCCCTGCATGGTAAACCACTTACTTTGCTTCTAAAGCCAGCGCAATAACTCCAGCGGCCAGGGGGGCTGATGCAGATGTTCCCGTATGTTTTTCCGTGCATTGATTATGAAGATCTGTGGTTGCCTGGTAAAAAAATGATATCGTGTAATCTTGATGACATTTGATGAAAAAATTCGCATGATTTACGGTCCAGTGGTTGTGTAGATAGTATTGTACATAAACTACCGTGGTTTGTGTCCAAACTATCTGAGGAAGATATCTCAATTCTCAAACGTGGGGTCCAGTGTATGTACTGCATGTAGCATTCTAAAATAAGCTGCCGTGGTTTATGTCTGAACTCCCTGAAAAGATTAAAGACATTTACGTTAACTTTCGAGGAAAGACTTTCATCGTCAGAAGATAAGTAGCCAAAATAACCTCCTAACTAACTCGAAATGGTTTCATTCTTTTTCAGGTAGTGCAGACACAAACCCCGGCAACATTGGTTTCTTACAATTTTTTGCTCTCCTCTCGATCCGCTGCTGAAAGTCGTAGCGAGTGTTGACGAACATGCTTCGGAGTACCACGGTGACTCCCCGTGATCCGACGACGAACTGATAGACAGTGTGTATATACTGTTGGTGTATCCGTCGCAGTTACAGCTGTCGTCATGACGACCGCCGTTGCCTGATGCCCAAACGAAGATTGAACCCTTTCCATCTCGACCCTAAAAATCCAAATATCAAACGTACAGGGACGACAGGTTCAATTGTTGCAGGAGGAATGGATGTGAAGGTTAAGTCATTCTTTCAAGCATGAGTGACCCTATTCTTCACACAGCATCAAACGAACTACCATAAGTCTAATTAGTGCTGGGTGTGTTTATCAGGGACTTATTTGTTTAGAACTTATGCTGATATATTTAGGGAGGAACTGGCTTTTTTGTGCGCTGTTTATTTAACTCTTACCACCAAATACAGGACTTGCAACTACAATCAGTTCGTATCATCATTTTCTCACCGTGATAACTCCGTGCCGGTTGACTCAGTACCATCTGTTGCATATTTAAGCTGTGACCTACCTTTTTAATTCCGTTCAAAAAAGCAGCCGTCGCTAAGGTTCCCGGACCTTCAACTGTCGTCCCGTCATCGCTAGGCCCCCAGCTCGCGCTGTATATATCAATGTATTGAGGATTGAGACTCAGTGATTCAGCCTCAACTTTATCTGTCACTCGACCATCCAACATCCTCACACCTAGAAATGTAACGTATAAGAAGAAAATTAGATCTAAATGTATAATTACCGTTGCCATGCTTGGAGTCAAACTTCAAGGACGTTGAAACATGAAGCAATCCTTACCTCCAATGCGAGCGTTATAAGCTACGCCGACCCCACATTTGTGATTGTTGGCTTGACCTGCCACCTCGCCCGCGCATCGCGTTCCATGTCTGTAGAAGTGAAATAAAATAAGATAAATCCGAAAAAATACAATATGGAAACTACTGACAGATTTCAAGCTTTACTTGGCGCTTGCTTCAGTTTAAAAAGCTAGTCTATGCTTCACCCAAAGGTCGAGTCGAGTCATTTCACTATCTGGTCGACTCGAGTCAGTGGCTACACGAATTGTATGGTGAACAAAAAGGTGAACAAAAATGCCTTAGAAATTTCCCTACAATGGAAACATGCCTATCTGCATCATCTGGAACGCTACCTTCAGATAAACTACCTATCTTTTTCTTGGAGTCAAATCTGGGGGTTAAGACACGCGTGTTTATATCATGATTCACTGATTAAGCGGTCTTCACATGCGCGTGAAAGGACTGGGACTGGCCTTCAAGTTGGCTTCAAATTTCCGGTTGGAAGTAGCGTTCCAATTATATTCATTCCACTGATCTGCATCGAGAATTACTTTTTATTTCTTCAAGCCCTTTCAGGACTCTTCCCAACCTATTCAACTACAATATTTTTTATGAATTTATCCTGAACAAGTTGTAGCTGAGTTGACTCGAGTCATTTACGGCAGAAATCAACAAGTCGAGTCCGAGTCGAGTCATTTGCGGCTTTTGACTCGAGTTGAGTCGAGTCATTTTTCGTATTCGACTCGAGTCGAAGAACATTGCGACTCGAGTCCGAGTCAATGACTCGATTCGTTATACAACACTGAATGAAAGCATAAACTCCTTACTTGTTTTCATTCGTCGAATCATATCTTGGGAATGGATCTGGATCACCTCCGTTTACATCCCAGCTTGCAGCGGGGTCCTACATAATGCAAAAAGCGAATTAAGTTTAAATTATTTCACGTCTATCATGCATAGGCTGTTTAAATTTTGTAAAGTCAAAGCTGCCACCAAAATCTTATGTGATGTACTCACGTAATTCCGCATTATATCCGTGTGGTTATGCTCAACACCTTTGAAAATGAAAATTTTAAAATAGGATTACTGTGATCAACAGTTTATTAATTAAAGTGGCAATATTATAACCATTGGTGATCGTTTGGTTGCTATTGCGCCCCAGGTAACCTACCGTCATCAAGAATCGTCACAACAACTCCTTTTCCAGTGATGCCTTGTTTCCATACAGACATGACGTGAACATCCATGTCATAGCCTTTGCGTGAATCGTCCTAGTGTAAAATAATGTATCTTTAAATTAAAGTCTTTCACCTCTGATATCGTGGGTTCGAGACGTCATGATATCCATGTGAAATAAGTCAGTCAACGCTTTGCCGAAAATCGTGGGTTTTCTCCGAGAACGCCGGTTTTCTCCAGGGAATGTTGACAGAGTTGGTTGGGATTAGCCCCTAAGCTGAGATTAGCCCTAAACTAACCCTTCCATCGTAGCTGTGCTCCGTGATCAGATATCCACTCGATCACGTTGAGCTGTGTCCTTCGCAATTGAGCTTAGCTCTCAGCTGCAAGTAAGGATAATAAGCACACCCTCCCCTTTAGGAACTGTGCAGTACAAGGGGGGAATCTTCTTTGGTCCAGTGTAAAAAGGAAGCAAATGGCAACCTATTCTATAATAAGTTTATCTTTTATACATGATATCTACAGCTCTCTCAGACTCTATAAACTATTTTCCCTAGAAGTTCAGTGAAAGCCATTCCACGGGATAGCTCTATCCGAGGCTCTATCAGTCTCAAACTGGAGTACATCGACCAAATCTATGAAGATTTCTTCCAGCTTATCAAACACCGTAGATGTTACAGCTGAGGCTAAAGTTATAAACAGGGAAAAGAACACGGAGTAACGACTTAACACTTACCAAATACCATTGATAGCTCCATAGCGGATCCCTAAACTTCACTTGAGTATGACGTTTGACCATTGCATCATGATAAGCGCCTCGTTTTACGCGGAGTTTTTCGTGTTGCTGTTCTGCCCATTCAACCTAGATGTTGGAAAGCCGTGTATTAAATATTTTTTCAAACCAGTCTCACGTAAACACCGGCTAGAGTAGTAGAGGCAACATTATGATCGAAACAAAATCTTTCCTGTCCGACTTTGTCTCATAAATACGGAGCCTTTAGCACTTTGCCAGAAGAGTTAGTAGTTGACTTACATTTGGGTGAGTATGAAGTAAGTCCGTCATCTCGACAGCACTGCGTCTTGACCGAGTGGGATGTGTTGGATGCTCAAAATGGTAATAATCTTCCAGTGTGCCAATCTGTTGAAGAAATAAGTGGCCAGTTAATAGGTAAGTAAGTAAGTAAGTGGGGTGTAGCTAAGCTGAATTACGAGGGACGCAGCTCAACCTGATCGAGTCGAAGGCTTTCTAATGGCGCCTATGGCAGCCACCTTATGACTCATGTCTGATCACGGGGCACAACTACGGTGGTAGGGTCAGTTAGGGGGATAATCCCAACCAACCCTGTCAACATTCCCTGTGGGAGGAAACCGGAGTACCCTGAGAAAACCCACGACTTTCGGTGGAGCGTTGACTGACTCTTTTCACAAAAGTGTCATGCATGAATCCGTAGCGAAGCCACCGAAGCCTCACTTTTAATGTCGAAGTCGCCAAAATGAAAATGCTCGAAGATACGCACTGGACTTTGTAATGAGAAGCATGTGTATTTGAAGAAAATAAAGCTAAACTAACTTTATATATTGTTAAATATTGCTGTTAAACACACATGTTTTCTTCCCGCCGCTCTGAACCAAGAACTGGCTGAGGAAGGATCCTAAATATTCGTGCAACATGTTAATTCTGTTCACTTTTCAACTGTCTATGTAATTGTCTTTATCAATAAAAATGTTTGGCATTTGTTTGCGCAAAAAGATATAAAAAACTTCGCGGCTCATTTACTTTTTAAAAAAGAATCTGACGAGAACCTGGGAGCTTTTCTTAATTTGACATCCTAATGGATATAGTTCTATCAGTTCTAAACAATTCTCCCGAGAGGATTCAGTTTAATTGTCATCATCATCCGGTCTTTATGGCCCAATGTTATCACGGATGAAAATTACGGCACAGTGATCCGAACCCGGATCCGACAAAACCCAAAGTGTTTGGTAGAGTCAAACTGGAACTGAACAGTTTTCTTCCGTGCGACTGACGCGAAATTATAATCACACAAGTGTATATTGCAAGAAGACGATAAAGTGAAGACGCGTCAAACCCCAGTCGCAAGAGTCAAATTTACTACTCAACGACTGTGCCAGTAAATTTTTGTCGCATCGGTCAGATTCTGTATGGCCCCGGGATAACCGTTACAGACTAAAGAACCCAGAGAATAATATAATTTCCCGACTACTGTCGAATATCATAAACAACAGTCAGGTAATTATAAGAAAATTATATTGAAGATTTCCATTCATTATAATAGGATCGCATGCACTCCTTGACGGGTACCTGCTAAATTAGAGCCCATGGCGGCTACACCTTTAAAATTTTCACGTTTTAATCTTTGTTCGTAACTTATATTCTGTAATTCGTGCCCTATATAATATCGTTTCACAATCGTTTTGAAAACTAGATACCGTTTTAAACTATCCCGGTACTAGTTTATTGTAGTTAGATACGTTTTAGTGACCTCTTGTTTAAATAAAGTCTGACAATGCCATTTCAAAGCAATAATATAAGGTTAAATAATAGGCCAGACCTTTTCGACTTTCGCAAAACCATGTCGTTTCGCCACAATTTTTGCATTTTTAAATCCTCCTTTCACTTTTACCGCCCAGCCATTGGTATAAATCTTTTCACGTTTCCTTTTGAAACTTTTCGATCCTGTTGTATAAGATACGAGCCAGATAACGATTAAAAAGCCAAGGAAAGATGACTTGAATTTAGGCCGACGGGCCGGCCCTGTGTTAACCATCTCATTGCTACGAGCAAGACGGACAGTTGGTTAAATACATATTTTTCGTTTCGACGGCAACCGAATATTTTTTAAGTAATCCCGGCTTATTAAGCATTCATTGTATTTCAGATTTTGTGTTGTTGTGTTTTCACCTGTCTTCGCCCACTATAGATTTGATCACCCGTTTCTATTACGTCACAACCCTCACGCAAAATGGCCCTCATGCAGTTCGCGAACTCACATAAGAACTAATTTTAGACATTAATACAGTAGACTGACGATAAATATGATAGCCCATACTCCATAGCCCAAGGGCCGGTGTTTATAGATCCCATGGCAATTCTATAAAACATAGTAGTCCAAGTGTGGGTAGTATTCTATAATATGCTGCCGTGGTTTATGTATGAACTACCTAAAAAAGATATTTCAAACGTAGTGGTCCAGTGTTGACACAGTGTTGGTATAGTATTCTATAATAATCCGTGTGGTTTGTGTCTAAAATTTCTCCCGCCGGCTATGTCTATGAAAATCGCGAACTTTCATGAACTCTTTACAATTACTTGCGATAGATGAACCAGGCGGAAATCGTAATCTTAGGATAAATATTAATGCCCAGCATAAAACACGTAAAAGAGCCATAACAAAAATATAATTTAAAATATTTATTTGAAAGCTAACGTTTCGTCTTTAACTTAAGACATCTTCAGAGCAATGACATACAAAGCGGAAAACACATAAATATGAATAAATTACAACTATTTACAAGATATTATATTACAAAAGTAGAAAGAGGAATGGATCAGAGTAGAAGTAGAGGGACCGAGCTGCCCTGTAAGTTGAGAGAGGATTTGAGTTTGTTAATGAGAAGACTTTCTCGAAATGAGGAGTTCGTCTGGAGAAGAGCAACAAGAAATAATCTTAAAATCATTAAGAGAGGCGGAGTGACCAGTGCTATCAAGATGGGAAAGGATACTAGACATGGTCGGATTGCTGCTTTTACTGCCTGTTAGAGGAGAAACACCCAAATGTTCAGAAACTCGTGTGTGCAAGTGACGGACCGTTTGGCCCACCGATTCCCATTGGTCAATATAACAAGAGGGGTATATCGGGGTATATCGTGAGTCGTGATTCACTCAATTTCGGTTACCGTCAGTCGCGAAAACACAAAACTTTACCGTGAAGCGTGAGGAAAAAAATTACTGTAATTTACGGTATTGTTATCGTTAAAATACCAAAATTCAGTTTTACTGTTTACTGATTTTCAGACCCCCCCCCCCATCTAGACGCTCTACCAAATACAACATTCTCGATAACTCGATTTGTGCAGTGACGGTTCCAATATTAGATCTCAGTATTTTCGAACGGTGTCTATTCTACAAGCTGGCGAATTTTTTTGGAGAATAAAGCACCTTGAGGGGGTGAATTTTCTATTCGAAGTGCCTGTGCAGACGGCAGGATCGGAAGCCGTTTGCCTTTATCATATAATATGTATTCTAGTAGCGGCCGCAACCATCGAGTGCAAATTTCGGAAAATATTAATTCAACAAAAGAGGAATAAAAGGAGAACACAGACCATCAAATGGGCATAAATTTCATTTTAAAAGCCGGATATATTATTTTATTTTATTTAATCTTAATTGATCTAACTTTGCCTTGGTAACAATATTAAGAAGGAACATCAATTTATTGAATATTGTGAAGAAGGAACTAATTTATTGAATATTGTGAAGAAGGATCCGCAGTAATTGGCTGTGGCGGAAATCCTGCCTTGTTTATATATATATATATATATATATATATATATATATATATATATATATATATATATATATATATATATATATATATATATATATATATATATATATATATAAACAAGGCAGGATTTCCGCAACAGCCATAGCCAATTACTGCGGATCCTTCTTCACAATATTCAATAAATTAGTTAAGTTTACTGAACAGTAAACGGAAAAGGACTAAATAATAAAATCAATCAATCAATTAACAAACTGTTCAAATGACGTGTTCAATCAACCAACCAAGAGATCAAGCAATCAGACACTTACTTATAAAAATATATTTTACCATTGGTAAACGCAAAACCTTTCCATACAATGTAATAGCACGGATATGAAAAAAACTTAAAAAACACAGTGACTGAAATTTACATACAATCCAGTTTGAAAATAACCTGAAAGATGCCTGTCCACAGCCGCGATCTGGAATTACCTGGTATGGAAAGGCCCTGGTTTTACCAAAATATAAATAATCAGTTGCGCGAGGTTCAAAAACAACAAGAAGGGGGAACCAACAAACTTCGAACACAGTTACATTTGATACAGGTTGTCTTCCATGTACGTGGGTCGTCAGGGTCGAAAGTTAAGGAAAGAGCGGAGTAGTAGTATTCTTTCAGAATATTCTTGAAAGTGGCAAGAGAAGATTTGTTGTGGTTTCGGGTTATTTCTTTCGGTAGTGCGTTCCATGTCCGTGTTGATCGTATTGAGTAAGATCTGCTGTACGTTGATGTTCTGTATCGTTGCTCTTTGAAGGTAGTACCAACCGCATTACGCGACAATCTTGTTGATCTCTCAGATTTCAGTGCCGATTTCGGTAGGAAAGTATCGTTCACATGGATAAGATATGACATATGTTTACTATAATATACATTACTATACTGACCCTTGCAATATTGGGCAGTTCTGTGGTCCAACAAAGTAGGAATAAAAGAAAACACACTATCAAATAAGCAAGTAAATTTCATTTTAAAATATTTATTTTATGACATATTTTTACTAGAATATACATTATTATACTGACACTTGCCAAGTCCGAGATTTTGTCCCGAGATCTCGGGATTTTTTGAAGCAGTTTGGATTTTTAAAAAAAATTTTTTAAAAAGGTCAATCTTGGGATTTTTTTATTTTTTGAGAAAGGGAAGTTCGAAATCTACTGAAATCGATTGTTTGGTAAACCTATTCATGTCATTGAGCTGCATATTTGATGTCAGATTTCGTTTTTACAACATGATGGACCTACCCGAAATTGGTGCGAAAACTACCTAAATTATAATGTCGTAAAAAGTGAAAATATCGGGCTTTTTTATGGAATGGCAGGCCAGTATTGTGAGAGCTTACTTAGTTACTTGGTATTTTTACAAAATTTGCACAATTAGCCATTTCCCAATCGAGCAGAGGACTGGGTCTAGTTGTTGTTTGGAGGCAATCTCGTTCCCAGAGTATGCCTGTTCGCGCCACAACCTAACCCGCGAACAGGCATACTCTGGGAACGAGATTGAGGGACAACAAGTTATAGTGAGCGAGCTAAATATATATTAAAAGATGCCTTATTATAATTGTCGCGTTTCAGGCTGCACAAATAACTTTAGGAATGCAGGAAAACTTCCTAGATGCCATATTTGGCATATTGTTTATTTTTGTCCCTCCAAACAAGCGACTAGACCTAGTTCCCTGCTCGATTGGGAAATGGCTAATAGGCTGATAACTCTCATCATATCTGTCATCATGACTATATATGGTGTGTGCATGCCCCAAAATTAATTGGAGCGCAGGGCCACTCCCGGGACATTTTCGGGCCCCTTGACTAGAAATCCTGGCTACGTCACTCCACTGAAAGGTCCAAAAATATTTTGAATAATAATGAGCCGCATCGAGGCGCGCGTTGCATTTCGGGAAGGCGCTCATTCGTCAACTCGCTGTTCGTCAATCAGACAAAAATCAATCTCGCTCCCAGAGTATGCCTGTTCGCGGGGTTATGTATAACCCGCGAACAGGCATTCAGCATGGCATGCATGGCTGTTTTCCTCTGCTGATAAACTTATTTTTAAAGTTCTTTCAAAAGAAGCTCTGCAAACAAGAAGCTTTAAAGGTATGGTTGGTTCGAATTTTATAAAACAAATCGTAGGGTTAGTCTGAATAAATAAAGATATCTATTTGTCTGTCTATCTACGTTGGGAAACAGCTTGAAAGCGTTGTAAATTTGTGAAGCATAAATTTGCCGTACATATAAATACATTGGCAGATTGCATTTATTATCCGCACAGGGGGGGTTGAGGACACTGGAAAATCCAGGGAGGGGGTCGATAAAATCGCTTGGAAATCCAGGGGAGGGGTCGATAAAATCGCTTGGAAATCCAGGGAGGGGGTCGATAAAATCGCTTGGAAATCCAGGGGGGGTTCGATAAAATCGCTTGGAAATCCAGGGGAGGGGTCGATAAAATC